TTACAGTATTTGTGAATGGTCGTTCTTCATTCGTGTATGCGTAATTGGTATTGGAAGGCAAGCTGTCTTAATTTTGTGGTCTGTTGCAGCTGCAGCAGATCAATTTAATTGTTGCAATAAAACATCCAAAAATTGTTGATATGATATTGAATATTTTCAGTTTAATTGCAATGATTATTGTTATAATTATTGCAGCTGAGATAAGTGCTGTTAGTGTGTGTTGTTTGACAATTGAGAACCAGTAATTTATTTCCACTAGATAAGTATTTTTCCTAATTTCTGTCAGGGATTTTTGGATTGAAAATAGATTAATTTTCCTGCTATTTAGGGCCTCATTTTCAATTATCTTAAAAATTTCCGGCAATGGAGTTCTAGTTTCTTTAGCAATTGACTGTAAATCATTTACGTAATTTTGGTATGAAAGAAGATTATTGATTATAATATTATTTGTTTTAATTGAATCGATTTTAACATTTTTGTGAGTGGAAGGGTAAAGGCTGTAATTTTCATCGTGCGCGATGCAGTTTGGCTCTATTTGAAAAATGCCAGTCCCTTTTAGTCTGAACCATTGTTGTGAGATCTTTTGTGGGCAGTAAAATGTACCGAAAAATTCGTTTTGTATGCTGTAGGCCCAGGTGTGACTTTTGCTCGAAAGTCTCTGGAAGAAAGGTATTTGTAGCTTTTGTAATTTTATGTTACACATTTTCTTTATCCCTTCGGTGTCGTTTTTCAAGATGGCAAGAGGGCATGTCTCAATTTTTGTGCTAATGACTGCCTTATTTAAGGAACAAATAAGTGGGTCTAGAGTTTTGCAGCTATCAATGTCTTCCTGTGTCAGCAGAATATAATTTAAATTGCCTCTTGAAAGAGCTATGAATTTTTCTTTTACAATAATTTTGGCTGTAATGTTTCCATCAATTAAGTGCGGCAGTGGTTGTACTTTAAAAAGACTGAAATGACCCTTTATTGTTGATAGAGGTACTTGAATAAGGAGCCTTAATGAAATAGCATCGGTTGTGTAGCTGACTTTTGAGACTGTGTAATATTTATAAATATTTTCTAAATCTAATGGAAATATTAATTGGAGTTCTTCTGTTTTTGCCGAGTCATTTTTGACTTGTTCTAAAATTTTTCTCAATTTTGTCGGAGAGATGAGATGATGTGAGAGTCTTTTATTTCTCAAGTCTGTGAAAATATTTGACAATTTGTTAATTTCTGCATGAAGCTATTTATTTGGATGTAATAAAATGATTTTAGTTTATCTATAAGCGATTCAATGTTTTTGAATTGTTCTGTGATGTGTTTATTTTCAAATGTTACTGCGAGTTGATTTGCTAATTCTTTTGTAACATTTACATAAATTAATAAGTCATTAATTTTATGTATTATTCCCCTTGTATTTTTGTTTATCTCGTTAATTTGTTCGTTTAAATTTTGAATGTCGGATTGTTTTGCCAATCCAAATAGTGATGAGTAAATTTCATCTGTGTACGGGATTACTTGTCTTCTTTGTTTATTTGTGCCGTCGTAATTGTATGGAATCATTGAAAATAGTGTCGAATTTATATTTTCATCAAGGTCTTGTTGTTTTTCTAAAATATCTGATTTAAAGTTTGCGAGGTGAGATTCCAGTTGTTTATAATTGTCGGTGTCATGTTTTAATGACAGTAAATTTTCCATTTCATTGGATAGGAAAAATAGCATTTCAGATATTGATTTTTGAAATTGATCATAATTTTTGCGTAGGTAGTGCAGATCGAAATCCAATAGGATATTTGTATATGAAACCGGGAATATGATTGAATTATCATATTCAATTAGTACACCATTGTGTATAGCATTGTAGTCTGCGTGATTAGGAGGAAATCCATTTCCTTTGGATGCGGTGGCGAGAGCCAACCTGCAACAAAAAGTTGCTAGTTCATTTTCTTTTTATTTATGATTTGAATGAATTTTATTTTATAGTAATTTGGATTGACTCTGAAGCCGTCTGTGGCTTTTTTTTTTTTTTTTTTTTTTCACAGAGTGAAAGCGGGCGCGCGCGTTTGTGTGGTCCATGTGTACTGGCAAGAGGGAGCTGAGTTTATTGCCCGTGTATAATTGCTTCTCGCTGGCTTGTATTATGGCGGAGGAGCCGCTGTGCGAGTAGAAGTTTGTAATTCTGAATGAGTTTTCTTTTGTGTCCTTAGACAGAATCAACTTAAAGTTATAATGATTTTTAAGTTTCTGTCTGTGTGAGTATTAGCAAATTACGGATTAAAATTCTCAAATTTTAATATGAATTTTGTGCTTAGGATGCTTGGGGAAGCGAATTTCTAATTAAAATTTTTCTGTTAAGTTTTAATTATCTTCAATGAATGTGTATGTTGCGTGGGAGCGAGAATTCTCTAGATTTGTAGTTTTTTCCGAGTGAATGTGTTTGTTTCCGAAAGCATTAATCAATTAAAATCTTCTTGATTTTAATTTACCGAATGAGTGAATGTTTTAGCGAAGCTTGAATCAATTAAAATTTTCCTTAAATTTTAATTTACCGAGTGAACGAATGTGTTCGGGAGAGCAAATCAATTAAAATTTTCCTTAAATTTTAATTTACCGAGTGAACGAATGTGTTCGGGAGAGCAAATCAATTAAAATTTTCCTTAAATTTTAATTTACCGAGTGAACGAATGTGTTCGGGAGAGCAAATCAATTAAAATTTTTCTTTAAATTTTAATTTACCGAGTGAACGAATGTGTTCGGGAGAGCAAATCAATTAAAATTTTCCTTAAATTTTAATTTACCGAGTGAACGAATGTGTTCGTGAGAGCAAATCAATTAAAATTTTCCTTAAATTTTAATTTACCGAGTGAACGAATGTGTTCGTGAGAGCAAATCAATTAAAATTTTCCTTAAATTTTAATTTACCGAGTGAACGAATGTGTTCGTGAGAGCAAATCAATTAATATTTTTCTTTAAATTTTAATTTACCGAGTGAACAAATGTGTTCGGGAGAGCAAATCAATTAAAATTTTCCTTAAATTTTAATTTACCGAATGAACGATTGTGTTCATGGGACTTAGAATCAATTAAAATTTTCCTTAAATTTTAATTTACCGAATGAATGTATGATGCTGTGATCATGAAATATGAATTAGTGGATGTTAATTTTTAGTGCCTTATGTATGAATAGTTCATTTCAATTTGAATGAAGTGAATTTAATTTAATAATTTTCTTTAGAGATTAAGTTTTTCTCTTGGCTTCATTTTTGTCCTGTCTCTGAGGAATGGTTTTTCCACCGGTGGTAATGGTTTAATGATTTTTATTATTTCTTCTTCATTTTCTGAAAGGTCCGAGCTTAGCATGTATTTATCTGTAATTTCAAGTTCGTCCGAGCTCACGCTTTTGGATGGGTCTTTTTGTGTTTTGCTTGGCTTTTGCGCTGCTGGTTGAGCAGCTGTGGATGGCATTGTATTTTGAGGGTCGCTCTTTTCATCTATTTTGTGTGTGCCATCGCTTTCTAGGGCTAGTCGTATAATAGACCCGGGGTGACTGACCGTTTGAAGTGTGGTCGGTCTTCTAATTGTGTTTTTAATTATCTCTTCCTCGCTGTCGGAGGAGTCAGTACTGCTATTTGATGTGTGCAGTGATTCAAGAGTATGTATGGATTTTAAGGAGCTCTTTTTCTTTTCTCTAATTGGTTTTTCAATTATATCATTTTCTACAATTTCTTCGATTGTTTCAAAAATTGCTGAACCATAAAATGGTTTTAGTCTTTCAATGTGGCATTTGACTATTTTGTGTGTAGCCAATGAGCGGCAGTAAGCAGTTTTATCTCTTTTTAGTGTTTCAATTCTGAAAGGGCCTGCATAAATTAGTGCGTTTTTGAGACCAGCAAGTTTTCTAGCAGCTGGGAATTTTATATACACAAGGTCATGGACTTTAAACTTATGAGGTTCTGCGTTTTTGTTGTAGCATTTGTTATTTTTCTCATTTTGTTTTTGATTGATTTGCAAAGCTGCTTGGTAAATATTTTGCAATTTGATTCGTAGATCTTTAGTATAATTTTCTGAATTATAGTTAATGTGTGTTGGGTGGATTGCTATTGGAACCCATGGAAATCGAAATATTCTGGCTGTTTCCATTGTAAATGGCGTGTTGCTTATTGACATATTAGGGAGTGCATTAAAATTTGCATTTATAGCTGCTAAATATACATCCCATTCCGTGTCAAAGTTATTCTTTTGTAACATTGAGAGACAATGCCAAGTTGATTGAATTGATCTTTCAATTCCACCTGTTGCTTTTTTACTATAAAAAACTGAGTAAATGTAATTTACGTTTAGAAGTTCCATTAGTTCTTTATATGTTTCACTTCTGAAACTAGAAAAATTGTCGCAAAGGAATCTTTCTGGTGTTGAATTTATGCAGATGTAATTAAAAATTTCTCTAGCAATTGTTTTAGCTGTCAGGTTTGGAATTGCAACACTTGTGATTTTCTTTGAAAAGTGATTTAGGAAGTTTAGTATCCCACAAAGCAAAATATAATGCCAAATCATCGAACATTAATTTTTAATTAATTATCAGTCATTAATGATTAAAAATTAATGTCACATTAATTTATAATTAATTGGTAATCAATTAATGACTACAATTAATGTAACATTGTTGGATAATTAATGTGTACATTAATCTGAACTGTTGAAAATTTTCCACAGATAATAATTTTTTATCATTAATTCATAAATAGTTATTAATTAATTAATCAAATTACTTATGTTAATTAATTGAAAATTACTTATTTCAATTGATGATACATTGATTAATAATTAATGATGTCATGAATCAGAATCGAAGAAAATTTCCAAAGCAAATAATTTTTTTAAATATTAAATAAATAGTTATAAAATAATGATGCACATTGTTTATTTAAAATAATTAATAATTAATTACCACAATTAATTTGACATTGTTTAATAATTGATGCGTTCATTAATCAAAATTGAATAAAAATTTTGAAAGTTAATAATTTTTGTCAATAGTTATCAATTAATGCATTAATTAATTTAAAATTTTTAGGTTAACTAATGAAAAATTATTGACCCTTAGTAATGATATATTGATTAATAATTAATTAGTTCATTAATCAAAATTGAAGAAAATTTTCTAAGTTCATAATTTTATTTCATTATTTGGTAAATAGTTATTAATTAATTACTCTAATTATATATATTAATTAATTTATAATCAATGACAAATTAATTGGTGATAATTAGACAAATTTCAGTGCGCGTGATCAGAATGGGTGGGGGAAAGCCGCTATTTTCAAAATCGACAAAGTGACTGTTGACAACGGTTGGGTCGCTCATACAACTGCCGATTTTCGTCCAATTTCGGGCCGATGCAAGTGCCGCGCGGGGGTTATGGGCCCTTTCGCGGACGCTTAAGGTCACCACACGCCTTCCTCAACGTTTGCCCTCGCAGGAAATGAAGGTTTGACGCTGGATCTCGACATTTTCGCAGCCGCGCCGTGAGTTTTGGCAAAAAATTTGGGCCGCGATGTGATCGAGTCCCCGTTTGTGCTTCTCGCCGCGCTGAAGCCGCGTGTTGGAAGGAAAAGTAAAAGGTAATTGGTTTTTACATGAATTTAATTCGAAATTAGCAGATAATTGAAACGCGTGCCATATTTAAAAAAAAAATATTTTTTACATCGCATGTTTACAGATTTGATAGAGCAGCGCGCCGCATTGAGACGGATTTTGCCACATTTGATTGCCAGATCCCACCGTGCACCTGCCCTGTGAGGAGATGAATCTCTTTCGCCCTCGCAAATCTCTCGAGAGACAATTAAAAAGAGCGGTCAGCGGTCATGCCAGCGCAGCTGACAATCGGATGACTTCGACTTCCCGTCACGCTGCCGAATGACTTTTGGAAAAGAATATTTTTTTGTAAGTTAAATTATATTTGCAATCAATTTGTTTAAATATACTTGTTTTTAATTTTCAGTTATATTTTTTAGGTGGTCTGATTAAAAGTAAAATCGAGGAATGAAGCCTAACCGTCTGCAGTTAAAAAGAATTTTGTAGCTTCCTAAATTTCTGCCGACATAATAAAAAGGTGGGTTTGCATCAAATTAACCTGAGACATAACCATATTTTGTATTCATAAAATTTATGCATTTTGCAGACTCCGCCAATCCTTATTGTGGACAAAAAAATTGGAGGTTTTTGTACAAATGGCCTGCCTATTAATTGAGATGCAAGACGGTTTCCAGGGACAATTTCGTCCAATGAATGAAACCCGACGCAGTTGTTCAGCGTAAAGAACGTGATAATTATAAAATTTTGTGGCAATAATTATTGTTTTTTGTAAATAAATTTAATAGTCTTATAAAACAATTATTATCTTTCTACTTATTTCAATTTCAGACATTTTGGATCTATGGATTTGTCTGCAAACTTGTGAGTATCTTACAAAATTTGTTTCGGATGTCATGAATTGTTGTGAATTTTTAATTTCAACTTAAATAAATTATAAAAAGTTTATAATTAAATAAAATAATTAAAGACAAGGAGATACGGAAAATTAATAATAATTCATTTAGTTCCAACATTTTAACTATTGAGTTTTACGGAGCATTAAGTATTTAATTTTTTAGTGTTTTCAATTGTATAAAAAAAGTTGTCACAACAGTAAATGCAACCAAAATTTTGTAAGATATACCAATTTTACAGTCAAATTTTAATTAACAAAAAATTAATTATGAAATGATTTATTAATTAATTAAAAAATTATTTAAACATTAATGACTAATTAATTAAAAATTAATTATACATTAATTATGAAACATTAGTAGCTATTTTGAGCAAACCAGTATTAATTTAAACAATAATTTTGAAATGATGCGAAATCAATGTTGCTCATTAATGAGTTCATTAATGCCACACTGTAAAAAAAGCGTCACACAAAATTAATGAAAAATTAATGGAGTGCATTAATGCATCAACATATTTAATTAATGAAAAATTAATTTTTAATTAAATTTTGCTTTGTGGGATGTATCGATTTCCTTTCTCAGTTAAAGTTAGTGGTCCGGTTGTATCAAATGACACAAGTGAGTCTATGTGTGTTGGCAATTCAATGGAATTTATTGGCGGTTTTTTATAGTGTGGATTTGTCTTCCGATAGTTACAAGTTTTGCATTTACGAATGAAATTTGTTACGTCCTTTCTCATATTTTTCCAGAAAAAGTTTTTCTGTATAATGTGACATGTTCTTTCAATTCCTGCATGACTGCATAGAGGGTTGTAATGATATGCCCAAATTATATTGTGCCTCATTGATTGAGGTGCATAAATTAAATCGATTGGGCAAGAGGCTGTTTTTGATTTATAAAATAGTCCATTTTCATCTGAAAAATATTTTATTTTTAATTCAGGAATTTCTTCACATTTTTCTTTAATTAGCTGAATTTGTTCATCTTTGTCTTGCTGCTTTTTAAGATTATGCAAATCGAAGTAAGGGAGGCAGCCTGGATAATTGCAGTCATCGAAGTTTTGTTCTCTTGTTATATTTAAAGCAAATCTCGAGAGAAAATCACTTGGGTTTTCTTTTCCACTCACATGTTCAAATTTAATATTGTAAGTACAAAGAAAAAGAACATATCGTGAGATGTGCGCAGGTAAATTTTTCTGATTCATTAGAAAAATTAGGTTTTTGTGATCTGTTTTAATTGTCACTGTTTTGTTTGGGAAATATTTTGAGAATTTTTTTATACCAAAGACCACTGCGTAGAGCTCTAGGATGTTAATTGTCAATAGTTTTTTGCTGAATGAAATTTTCTTAGATGCAAACGCTACAGGTCTATAAATTCCATCAATTAATTGTGTTAAAATTGCACCAATGTGACTTGTTGTAGTTGCATCTACGAATAAGTAAAAGGTTTGATTTAGATCTGGGAAAATTAGAACTGGGTAATTTACTAATGCTGTTCTTAGGTATAGATAAGAGTCTTCTGCTTCTTGTGACCATATGAATTTTTTATTACTCTTTTTCAAGAGGTTAGTTAAGCCTTCTGCATGTAAACTGTAGTCTTGGATGAGTGAATGATAGAAGTTAATGAATCCCAAAAATTTTCTTACTTGAGATTGGTTTCTAGGCCGAGGCATTTCTAGAAGTGTTTTAATTTTACTTTGTTCAGGTTGAAGACCTTTTTCTGAAATTGTGTATCCCAAATAAGTGACTGTACTTTGCATTAATTTGCATTTTTCTGGAGAAAATTTAAGACGTACTTTTCGAGCTGCTGTGAGTAGTCTCCTAATTGTTTCTAAGTGTTCGTCAATATCATTGCTTCCGATGCAAATATCATCAAAGAAATATACAATTTTCTTTTCATCAAGTAGTTCTTTAAAAACCTTTTGGAGGTATGTAATTAAGAGATTTGGCGCAGCACAGTATCCAAATGGAAGGACTGTATATCTGTATCTTTGGAGTCGGTGTGTAAAACTGAAATATTCGCGTGAATTTTCGTCTATTTCGAGTTTATTGTAGCAATTATGCAAATCAAAGGTTGAGAAATATTTGCAGTGTCCTATACTTTGTAGAACCTCTGTTGCTGATGGATATTGCAAGTAATCAAGTCTATTGTGTTTGTTTATTGCGCGCAGGTCGCACAATAATTTAAATCTGCGTGTTCCATCTTCTTTTAGTTTTCCTCTTAGGAGAAAAATAGGGGAGTTGTATTTGCTAGTTAGAGCTTTTTCAATTTGATTTCTTTTAATTAGTGTTTCAATTAATTTGTCAACTTCAGTTTGGTCTCGGTCCGCGAGCCTAAATTGTTTTACATATATTGGTTCATCAGTGTCTAACGTGAAATTAACTCGGAGGCCTGAAACACACATGTTATCTGATTCGGAAATATAGAAAACGTCATTGAAATTTCCTATTAATTCTTTGCATTTTGCCGCTGTATTTTGATTAAGATGATCGTATTTAATTATTTGTTCTAGAATGTCATTTCTTTGTGTTTCAGACAGATCAGGGATACTTTCTGTTGAATTTATTCGTGGTGGTTCAGGTAGAGGCTCTTTAGGCAATTGATAAGTTTGACAAACTGTTGCTACAATTTGGCCCTTTTTAATGTTGACTGGTTCGTTTGAATAATTTTCTACTACTAAAGGAATTTGACCAGTATTTTTAACTGAAGTGATAGCTTGAAACACATTTAGTTCTAGGCTATTATCCGAATTTTGGACTAGTAAATTGTCCTGTAAGTGTGTGTGGAAATTATTTGGGGCCGTTGCGAAAATTGTATAGACTGATTTTGGCTCTAATGAATAATCAGTTGCTGCTAGAATTTCACATGATTGAGAATCTGAGGTGCGTGTTTGGTCGTCAAGGTCAATTTTATTTAAATTCTCTTGACATTTTTCGCATCTTAATTTATGTACGTATGACATTGATCCAATTGAAGAATTGTCTGTTGTTGAAGGTTGTTTTATTATTGAATTATTTTCCCCCATATTATTTAGTTTTTTCGCGTTGTTGAATTTTTCAATGAAATCTTTCATTTTTGATTGATACTCATTTGAATTTTCATTATTATTGGACCAATTTTTATTTTCTAACTGGATTGAAGCAACGCTGTAAATTACTTGGTACATTTTTGGTTCGAATAATGATTCCAAGGTTTCTAAAATTTCTTCAATATTTTCTGCACTTGTATCTGGCTCGGGAGGAAAATTATCGGTTTTGTCAACCCATTCTTGAACCATTGAAATTTTTTTATTGATTTCTGTGTCAAAATAGAAGTATGAGTATATGAGGTCGCCGTTTGACCGAATTGTTTTAGATGGGAAATCTAATATGCAATTGAATTTAGTGAGAAGTGGGAGTCCTAAAACTCCGCATTTAAATGGTAATTCTTCTTTAATTACCATAATTGTTTCTATGACCGAGTGTATGCCTAATTCAAATGACACTGTAATTTTTCCTACTATTTGGACTGAATGTTCAGAGAGCCCTTTAACTTGGGCCTGTGGAAGGGGCTCAATGTATACACCCTCTGGCACTTCGGAAAGTGAAAGTATAAATGGAACTTGCGAACCACTGTCAATCATTGAATTTAAAATATGACTTTCAAAGGGACTGAAATTGACTTTAATTTGTGTGAATATTCCTGATTTATCGCGGTTCTTTGGATATGTAGAAAGGAGTTGAGCCATTGGGCATAATTCACCCTCGGGCAGTTTTAATTCTGGCCGAGGGGAACTGACTCGTTTTTTGAACTCTCTTGGTCTGACTTGATTGTGGAATTATTAGTGTTTATATTGGAGAGCATTGCAACAATTTTATTTAAAATTGGGGCATCTTGTGTTTTGTTTTGAACATTTTGATCACGTTTTGGTGCAGCACGACAAACTTTTACAATATGTCCTATCTTTTTGCAGTAGTTGCAAGTTGAATTTAAGTGAACGCAAGTGGATCGATTGTGATTTTGGCCGCAACTTGCACATGGTCTATATTGCTGTGGCCTTGGATTTTGTGGATTATTTATAATTTGAGGCTTTGAATAATTATTACCAGCGTTATTTTGATTTTGTTGGGTGTAATTGTTTTGTCCGTGAATTTTACATTCACGCTGACAAATACGTGTTTCAGAGAGCATCGGAATTTTTGATGGGAAGATTTTAAGGTGACAGTTACAAATTGCTGGGTTTGAATTATAAATGCAATCTCGGGGTTGAGATTTTTGGGGTTGATTTTCATATTTTGAGGCTACTGCTGTATGCTGATTTTTCTTAGCAAAGACATTGTAATCGTTATTTTCATCAAGGTCGCGGGGTTCAAATTCAGCTGTGTTTACATGCACTACTTTTGGGGCTGGTGGTTTTTCATTTTGTGGGAATGCATAATTTACGTTAATATTTTGCAACCTTGTGCGACGTGATTCAAGATATTGTTCTTCTTGTTTAGCAATTCTTGCAGCTTTGTTAAATGTATTTGGATTTTTAAGTCTAACTGCTGCAGCAATATCAGGTCTAAGACCGTCGAGGAATATTCTAAGTGCCATATTATCAAGCATTTGTCTATAATTATCTTCAGTTACTGGGTCAAGGTTTTTCGGAACACTATTTAGCATATCAAAGTAAAGGCGTTGTTCAAACTGAGCTACTGTTTCATTTTGGTTTTGGTAACTGTTAAGAAGCCTTTGATGAGCCGAAACTTCGTCATTAAAGGGTTGGAAGCGTTCGCACATTAGGTATTTGAATTCATCATAATTGTTAATGTCAAGCAATTTTGCTCTGCGTGCATATGCAAGAGCAGCATCTTTTAGTCTAGCTTGTGCTACCTCGAGCATGAATTTTGAATCTAATTTGTGATTATTTGCAAGCCGTTCTATGCTTTGAAAATATTCCTCTGCAAAATAGTACTTATCTTCACCGCTAAATGTGTGAATAAGCGAATAGAGTGAGCTTAATTGTTTTGGTGTAATATTTTGCCTTGTATTTGTTTGATCATAATTGTATGTTTGATATACATTTTGTGCTTCGTTTTCATGCTCTTGGTTTACACATTTATGTGCTTCCTTTACCAGTTTTCTGAATTGATCAATGGGCATATTATTATAAAGATTATTGAGTATGTCTGCGGCTCTTTCAAAATCGGCTTCGTTTTTACCCGGTTTAGGAAATTCCCAAAATTCAACGTTATCATGGTCCCAGTAATGTTTATTTTTCCCTTTGTTTTGAGGTTTGGGAGTTGAGGTTTTTTGACTTCTAGATAATTTTTCAAATTTTTCCATATGCGTTTTGAAACCCAGGGATTGTGTATTTTTACGTATTGTTCCAGTATTTTTATGAGTATCTTTATTTGGGTTGCCTTGGTCGTCTTTGATATCCGCATCATTAATATCCATATTAAGATTCGGGAGTGGTTTATTAAGTGAGCTTGCCTGATCGTTAGGTCCACCTTCAGCCATATTAGTTGTTTAATTTAAATTTGTGGTTTGATTTTTATGTGTCGTGAAAAATTTATTATTCAAGTTGAGATTTGAAGAATTTTAAGGTTTTTGTCAATTGGGTTCTTTGGTTTGCTAGAAAAAAAATTTTTCGTTCCCCTTAAGGTCGATGCCACTTTATGTCACCTCTCGTGTTTGTATGTATGAAGGGGGATTTTATGAATGAGATGGGATTTAGTTTTAGTGGGCGTGCGAGCGGAGTGAAAGTGAGAGCAGTTAGTTTGTATTGAGTGTGATAGTTCTACTGGGGGTCGCTCGCCGACAAGTGCAACGAACAAAGCTAAGGTATGTTATTGTTAAGGCGAATGAATGAAAAGGAATGATGGCCGCTCGGGGGTTAAATACAATAGAGCTTCGGGTCAAGATATTTGGGGATAGGTGGCAGAGGGATGCAGTTTTATGCGCCTGCAGCACTCTGTTAATTTTATGAGGGGAGAAGAGAGGTGTGAATCTGCTGAGTTCGTTTAAGTGAGGCGAGCAGATTCAATCGAGCGCTCTGTCCCTTTTAATTAATTTAACTTCTAATTCAGAGGCCTAAGGGCTTAATTTAAAAGAGCGTTCGACACTAATATGCCTCGGTAATAATTATTAATTTGTTCTTAAAAGATGCCAGGATATTTTAAGTAAAATAGCCAAAATTTAATTATATCTCAACTGGTTAGTTTGTTAATTGAAATCTCAGGTTTCCCTTGTTTAGGAGTTTATTATTTTATCAAACCACATATAAATTACACCGTTAAATTTCTATTAAAAATACGCTGCTAAGTAAATAGATATAATTCTAACTCTGTGACAGAAAGTTATTTGCCTACTTGGGGGGAAATATGGTTGCGAATGTTAAGGTTACACTTACAATAAAATGCAGACGAGCATTTGGAGTTACAAGACGAGCGTTGGCGAGGATGCAAGATACAGAGTCCAAGTGTGTGCGTGATGAGTGCGGGGGTGGTTCCGGAGCAGCGTATGGACCAAGCGGGCAGAACTGACTGTGTCTTTGCATCCCCGAGTCGCTCTATTTATAGGACGGACAAGATTGTTGAGTCACAGGGACGCCAAGGAACACCTGCAACCGCAAGTGTCCAAGGGGTGGCTGTGCGAAACAATAGTGTCTGGTCCGAGTACAATAGTGTCTGGGCCGAATACAATAGTTTCTATTCCAGTACATTGAGTACCTAATCAGGCGTGAATTATTTGCATGCGTAATACATTGTTCTTTTCTTGTGCGTCTTGTCATATTACAATAGATCAGTTAGTGAGTCATCTTGTGACAAAGCCCAGACAGACATCAGGTGGTTATGACTAATAGTATAGAAAGGGGGATGATTACATTTAGGGTGAGTCGCGTCGGTGTGACTCACGATTGAAAAGGAACAAGTGTTATTTTTCCAATAATTATTTATAATTAATACTCATGTAATTTGTCTTAAGTGATTCCAATATTGGCTGCACTTGTTTCTTTTCTTACATTTTAAAGTCTTAATTGTATTTAGAATTTTATGTTTGTAATTATTTATGAATGAGCAATCAATCAATTATTGTTAGTAATTACGTATTTGCGTTTTTCAGTTTCATTATTAATTTTAGTTCATTTAAAATTAAGTAGTAATTTGCCTATAATACTCCTTTTGCATATCCTCATAAATAATTTGTCTCATTTTTAAAGTCAGATCTCGTGCAATTGTTTTCCCAATTATTTACGATTTATTTATATTTAATTAACCTTAATAATTTAACTTGAGAATTGTGTGTGTGTCTGTGTGTTTTGCGGAAATAAGGAAGGGTTGGAAGGAATTTGACAATAAGCTTTCTTGAAGATTCATAGCTCTCCAGTTGATTGACTAACAGGTTTCGGTCAATTGTGTATGTGTGTGTGTGTGTGCAACTGGGCCATTACAGGTGGGCTGCATTGTGTTTACAGCTGTTGTTGTGTCTAGGCCAGGTATATGGGTCATCCGGCCAGGTGATCTCTTTTTACAGATAGGCGCGCAGCGCAGGGCGCGGCGAGACAGGTTGGGGCGAGCGTGCGTGTGTGTGTGTGTGTGTGTGCGCGCTGCCTTGGAGTGATTGTGTCAAAGGGGTATTTTTGCAAGGGGTTTTTCCGCGTGTTTTGGTGTTAGTGTATTTGTTTATGTTGTTTATTTTTATAAATTATAGGGGTTAATTAATGCAAGTATGATTCCCATTAAGTTATTATTTGTTATTAATTATTTAAATGCAAGAGAAGATTTAAGGCAATTTGTTGGTGACACTTTTTGTCTTTACTTAATTGAGAACAGGAACCTCTCCATTCTTGATCAAAGGGAATTGTTTAGATGAAAACAAGTGTTACTTATAAAAAGACTAATAAAAATAAAATCCTGGTAATTTATAATTGAACTCTTTTATTTCTTACCTATGTAGGGAAGAACGCGCCACGTATTGCCTATCAAAGGCAGCGGTCGTGGTCCAGGCACCTCGGAATACGGTTTCACAGATGAAGACCGTTCAGAAATAATTTCTTCCAGTGCAACCTCCGGAGCCACGCTAATGTGCGACTGCAGTCGAACGGCAAGGAAGTTGTGTCTTACAACCCTTAAAATAGCATCATTAAGGGTGCTCGAACCATTCCGCAGTGACAGCATTTTCGGTCAGAGGCTCGCAAAACTGAAATAGTTTATATTTAAAAAATAAGAAAATTTTTACTTAAAATTTAATAAAAATAAAAAGCTCTCGGCATTTTGTATATTTTAAACCCTGTTAAAAAAAAGTACTAAACCCTACCCAATTGAACAGTTTTGTTCCAATTTGATACTTTGGGCTATAAACTTAACACAAGAAACATTTCCAACCCTTAAATTTATTCATTTATTCTCAATTTCAATGAAATGCAGAAAAATATTAATTTAAAAAGAATTTATTTGGAAAATATTATCCCTGCATATAAAAAATTTACATTTTGAATATTAAAGTAATTTTGTAATCTGACTAACCTGCAAATGTGAGCAACCTGCTGTGCCGGTCCGACAACGAGACGAAAGACTCGAATGCACCGTTGCGATGAAGAGGAGCCGTGAATGAAACCGAAAACCCGCACAGCTCCTACTAGAATAGGATGCAGTTCAGGTGAGAGATGCCTCAAAAGTAGTGGGAAAAGCGAAATTGCCTATTCTCTCGCGTGCTCGGCAAGACGAGGTGCTGCATTTCAAGTGCGCATTAGCCGCGAAATAAAAGAGTGCCAAAGAGAAGTCGAGTTTCATACATTTGAACAGCTTCTTGGTACAATTTGAAAGTCTCTGATGAAAGGTGACACAAATATGGACATTTTTTACAAAGGATATTCGTGAGTAAAATTCGTATTGATTTTAAATGGTTTTTATTCCTTAACACTTCAAATAGAAAAAAAAATGCATTCAAAATTGTAGACCATGTTTTCATGCACAAATGAAGTTGTAAAAAAAACGGTTGATAAAAATATACGCATCAGTTGTATCAGAGCCAAGTGGTCATCAAAATCAGTTGGATGATTATCAGTAATATTGGGTTAAACAATAGAAGAAAAGTATATAAAGTTGATGGCTAAAAAAATATGTCATTCTGGTGCCTCCGTAATTTTGAAGTGAAGAAAAATTAATTAATTTTTCGCATCTGTACCACGAGACAATAAGTTACTAAATGCTACACTTCACTTGATCGTCTCTAAAGTGTCTCATTAAAATCTTATAATATTTTTTTTTATTCAGAAAAATAAAATCCGCGTCCTGAATGCCTCGTCGGATTGTTCACGGTGCGAAGAAGCACAGGAGGCGAATGTTCTTGTAATGAGACAAGTGAGAGACTTTCACATTATTTAGCGCCGCGAGTTTAAATTTATGGCTGGGGCTGCAGTGTGATTCTCACAGAGGAAACTTTAAAGAGTAAATGAGCAAACAATTTGGTAACATTCTATTATGTGGCGCTTAAGGATATGTGTTTTTTGTATAGTACAATTCAATGGGCCGGATTTATATAAGCGGAATCACATGGTTTCGCCCCTTGTGGATCAGAATTCTATTCGATCAGATTCTCATTTTTTTTTTGTATCGGTTTCAGAAACATCTGCAGCGGTCCTGAGGACAATCGGGATCGTTGACCAGACACTTGTCCAAGCAGTAAACGTCAGCGCCGGTGCGTCCTTCAAGTTCACCAATGGCCTCACAATCGGTCCTAAAAAGCAAGGATTGTTATTTTAAGGTTTTATGAAAATCGTGCCTGGAAATTCGGAGGTAAATCTTATTAAAATTTTATTGAATTAATTTAAATTATTAGTTAATAAAAAGCTGCTTACGGGCACTCGCAAACTTCTGGAGGGCAGTTGGGAGGGTAGCGCAGACAGTTGACCTTGCACCATTCATCCATTCCGATATTCCTGGACCATCTCCTGGTTGCTCTGCATCGTTGCGATCTGAATAAAAGAGAAATTGAGAATGTATAATTAAATTTAATTGTGTATGTATAAAAATAAATTTAAACAGAAATATTTAGGGCTTATTTTTCAGATGGCTTCCATGTACTCAAATTTGGAGTCGCCGTTATTTGTCCGAAATTTTTTTGTCAGAAAACAGCACTTTGCATTTGTCAGAAAATAATTCATCAGAAAACCTGTTTTTCAAATGTCAGAAATTCAAAAGTAAGAAATGCAAAAGTCAGAAATTTTTTTTTTAAATTATTTTTCTATCATCTAGTATCACTTGCAAGAAAATTCTCTGACAATACGATTTCTTTTATTGAATTCTGAGGCAAAAGACGCTTATTTTAAATGTAAGTGCACTCTGAAGCGTCAATACCAACACGTACACCGCGCCAATAATATTTGCATTTATGAAGTTCTTATACTGATTTAAATCAATTTTAATTTTCATATCTCATGAAGGCTGTTGTGCTCACAAAATCAGAATCAAGAATAATAACGTTTTTGCTACCAATAAGTATAAATTTTAGTCCACTTCACATAAACCAAGACTTAAACACCTGTGCACAAGCAAAAGTTTTCTGATAAATGAATTTTTGATAAATGGATTTCGGATAAATAAAAACTGTTGTTCTGATAAATGATTTCTGATGAATAATTTTCGCACAAATGCCAAAAAAAAATTTCGGATGTCTTTTTTTCTGACAAATAAGGATCACTTTATGAACAACAATAATCGCCGAGAAGTGAAGCATCATTTTCAAAAGTAGGCAACTGGCTCTAATGGCATGTCGAGCAAGTTGCATACCGACAACAATTTTCAACTCAATGTTTACACATTTTGTTCACCAGAATGAAAATCAAACTCATCTCCAAGCAATTTTTTTACCAAAAAGAAATTTAAAAAATTAGAAAACGTTGATATTTTGAATATTTAGAATGTTTTATACCTGATGATAAGGGGCTCGAGTGAGTAGGACTCGTGCGTCCTCGTGTTCTTCCTGGAGTAATCCCTGTAGTACAACAGGAAGGGGTTGTCCTGTTCGACGAAGGCCGGTGGAAGTCCGGACGTGCTTGTGGTGATGGTGACGTCGGCACAGTTGCGGAAGGTTTCGGGAAGGCCGCAGCCGACCGCCTCGGTGCCGTTGGGACACGTGCCCCACATGTTGCCGGTGTAGTAGGTCCATTGCATCACGCACTGCGAGCACGTCACATACGGGGGCAGACGCACCCTGTAGCGGAAAACTTCCTTCTTTGCGGTGTCAAAGGGGATGGTGAACACCGACTCCCTGGTCCCAGAGATGTACAGCGGATACCTGTATATGATAAGAAATGAATTATATTCATTATTTATCCTTTTCTTAACTTGTTCCGATTTGATCTTAATTTAAAATCCCTACTCTTTAAAAAAAAAGAAAAGTTCATAAAACAAGCCAATTTTTTTTAATTATGATGCAGTAATTGCCCTATGACGATACTAATTTTTTAAGAAGCTAATATCAATTTTATTTTCTAAAGAATATATTTGATTATTTTTTTAAAAAAATTAAAATTGTTAAACTAGTACTGCCTTGAAGTGGAATTACGTTCCGAGACAACGAGATATTTGAGGGTGGTTTTAAAGAATTTTAATTTTGGGAAATTTTCGCCCTCAATTAAAATTGTTTATTATCACAACAGGAATTTTTCTAACTTTTTTACACCGGCTTTGTCTCAAATATCTCGTTGTCTCGGAACATAATTCCACTTCAAAGCGATTAGTCGCAGTACTAATTTAATTATTTCCCGTTTCGAGTGGTTTCTTTGGGTTTTAAATTCTCAAAAAATTAAAATTGTAGTCAAACACAGTATGATAACTAACGAAAGTGTTAAATTTCCAAAAAAAAGATATAAAGACATAAAAAGGACGTAAAAAAAATTGTTGAGTCAAACATAACTTATAATATTCAACATATATTGGCCCAGAAATAAGAAAAAGGTCTCATAGTTTCCAAAATAAAAAAAGCTTTATTTCCTGTGGGATTAAAAAAATTCCATTTTCACTCAAAATGACGGAATTATAATAACACCCATTTTTAGAACAAATTTTTGGAGCTATAATTACAATTAAAAATACTCTTTCTTCTGAATATTTTATATTTTTTTAGACTTATTTTACTTATAAATTAAGCAATTTAAAAAAAATCAGTTTTTGCATGCTCATAATTTAAATAATTGGCCACTTAATTTCTGATAAAAAGGACGGCAACCTCCTCATGGCATCCCCGCAAGTGATTAAAATTCAGCAAAAATGCAGCAATTAATTAAATATTAATGAAAAGCTGACTAACCTGTCGAAGCACTCTTGTGTGGCCTCCAGTCTGGCGTTGTTGACTGGGCACAACTTGAGCTCAAATCTGCCCCAGTGGTTGGCGGTCAGATCGATTTCCACTTCAATGTCCTGAAAATAACAAGTCTTATCATCATCAAAGTTTTCTGCAAAATCCAAGTCTATAAAAAATTATCATAAAACGCGAATTAAATAAATAAAGTTTTTCCGCAACTCTGATTAATGAGGTGCGAACGAGCAAGTCGGTGGAAAAACGAGCGAGTAATTAACACGTAATCGCGTCATTTGTAAGCAAAGGCCCAGGTCGAACATAAATTCAAATGGGAGGCGCCGCACAAAAGAAATCGCCTCCGTCGCTCTTCCTCGTCCGCATGTCGCGGAATGTCACTTTCAGCAAAGGTGGGCACAAGTCAAGGTGCGAGACGCTTAAATTGCTTTTCAAAAGCGAGAGTGAATTATTTTGTTCGATTGCAGCTTGCGGAAAACGGTAATAATAACGTATAAACATCAAACTCGCCGCCGCAATTTGCCTGAAATTGGCGTAATTTATATTGTAAAAGAGATAAAAATAAAGCATTGAAGATGGAAGATGGATTCGTTCCGTTGGACGAAACCTTCAACTTGACCGAAGACATAATGTGAAATAATTTATCCCGATTAAAAATATGAAAAACAAAAATGCAATGACAGTGAAGTGCCTTCGAGCGGTAAGAAATTTTTAATCTTTCAACGCCGAGCAATTTTCAATATCCATCTTTTAAAAAGATAAAATAAAGCTCCAAGAATAAATTTAACTCCTTTAATATTTTATAAAATAATAAGGGTAAAAGTTAAGGAAATTAATTTTTTTAACAGCAAATTTTACGCATTTCATTTTTTGTTGAAATGTCAAAAGGGGGTAAAGTTTATCGTTTCTACAGCCAAAATTTGTGAAATATTAAGAATTTTTTAATAAAATAAAATATAAATTGTAAAAATAACCAAAATAATCTAATTTGCCAATATTAATGTTTTTTCATCTTTTAAAACTTTTAGCACTTTTATTTAGAAAAATTGTATAATTCTTATTTTTAACCACATATATTTGTTTAAAAACCTTAATTTTGTGAAAAAAACCTCGACTTAATTTGAAGGTTCCTTTGTTAGGCTATAAAATTGTGAGATTTCCGTGTTTGGCTGGTTGCCTTGTTAAGACCAGTTGAAAAATGAAATGGGCATTTATTTCAGTGTGGCCTAATTAGCGGACCCAAACATCACCCGTCGACTCTCGATTCTTCATTAAGACTTTTTACACCTGCAATAAATTCCTTCCAACTCTCGAAGCTGTCGCAGTCGGTAATTTGTCTGGCAAATTAGTACAGCGAGTTGCAGCTGAATTCAATTTTCCAACGCGGACGGTGGAAAAAAATGTACAATTTTACAATTTTAATTGCCCACCTCGAGCGTGCTGCGAATTCGCAGCAGTGAAAGTGCCACCGTTGATTGCGTGAAAGATTTGCAACCTTGACAAAGCTTCACTGCCAAGTTCAATCTCGCACACGATGACGGTTTTTGCACTCTTGGAAATAATTATTAGCGAAGATGAGACGAGACGGCTTTTTGTTGACTTGAAATCCGGATCGAAAGGAAAGAGAGACGAGCAAATGTAATCACTTCATTACTTTTTTATGGTCCGTGGCTTGGGCGTGGGCCGCTTTGTGCTCGACTTGCTCGCTTACGTGTGCGTCCATCATTGCAACATGTTTATGTGCGGCTTGCATGCGAGCATAAAACGCGATGAAAATGTTAATTTTCCGCGGATTCTGTACAAGGCTCTGCACGCAGAATTGCAAAGAGGTTTTTCTAAAAGGAACAAAAAACTTGCAACTTGAAAACTCACAATGATGAATATGTGGTCGCTTTTACATCGAAAGTTTTTTTAATTAATTTCTTTTGTACTTATTATTGCCATTTTCATTTAACATAATTTTAATACAATCTACAATTAATGTCGAATCAGTCGAATGAAAACTTTCAAACATTGCTGTAGCGTAGCAAATTATCTATGAATATGTTTGATAGAAAGAATATATATTAATTTATAATATTTTAAATTATTGTAAATCAATATTAATATTTTAATATAATAAAATAAAAAATAACATATTCCAATTAAATTTAATAATATAAATAATTAAATATATTTTATAAAAAACTTAAAAATAATATAATTTATTCGAGTTTTTTTATTATTATAGTTATAAATATAGCAAAAATTTAATAAAATTCAAAAGATTTTCTAGCAGAAATACAAAATATCAAGATGAAAACGATCAAAAAGTGATTAAAATTATAAACGATAATTATCATAATAAAATTACCAGATTGAATCCTTGAATTCAAAGTCAAGTTCAAGCTTCAGCAGATTTACGACGCATCAAATTGCAATCACACGATAATCTTATTTTTAATACCAACAAAATTGCGTTTTTCAGTTCTGCGTTGGTATTTATATCTTTTTTTAAATAATAACTCTTAATTAACGCTCCGCTCGATTAAGAATCGGATTTACGACACAGCAGCGGCGATAAATCAGTGAAATTTGCATGCGTCGGTGCACGCCGCGGTTGCAATAATTAATTTTATACCTGGCCGACGCTGTAGTGCCGCCCGATGATTCCTTTCGCGAACTGCCCACCTGCCTCGTGGGGTCTTGGACTCTCAAAGTGGTATGGGTCGCCGCAAATTCCGCACTGGCCGCGGTTTTGCATCCATTGCACTGAAAAGTAATTTGTGGTTTTTGGAGGATATCGAGTTTCCTTGTCGGATTCGCTTTAAAAATGTGTTTGTTTGGAGAAAATACAAAAGTAAACCCAAATTTTCATCGACACTCATTATTATTCATAAATATTGAATATTTAGGGTGGTTTCACGATATAAAAAGTAGTGTTTTTCAATGCAAAAAAGCTATTTTTGACTGCTTTTTAAAATTCTTTTAAAAATATCTCAAAAACTAATAATAATCCCATTTTGAAAATCAAGGGTTTTGTTTTACACACTTGGGGCTACATTTTTTCCTATATCCCGAAAAATATTTGTGGGGTGCATCTTTGCGAAAAGAAAGTGAAATTTGCAATTTAGTGACCTTGACCTTTGACCTACAGAAAAGGGCGTTAAATTTTACGTCTAGCACCCTTGAGAACTTACTTAATTTCAAATTAGAAGCAAAGATATTCAATATTTTCTGTTTCTTATCGCATTTTTTCGGTAATTTGATTTCCCGGAAAAGTACTCAAAATTTTCAAGTGAAATTTTACGTAGTATTTTCTCACCTAGCCCGACAACATATTTGAAAATCAAGATAGGTCATATTTTGGCCAATTTGAGTAAAATCTATCGTGAAACCACCCTTAAAAAAAAAATAAAGGAATGGATTTTTATGCGACATTATTAATTATTTCATATATATTTGAAATTGTACCAGCAATTATTGGAAAATATTTAAAAAAAAAAATTGACAGTATATAAAGATTTGCTACTTGACACATTGACAGTTTTACAAAATGTAATAAATTAAGCTAAAAAAGAGATTCAGTCTGGTAATATAATTTTTAAATTAATTTAAGATGAGATAAAGATGTTTTTTACCTGCGTAGCCACCGCAGAAGAGCTCATTGTCGTTGTAATTGACTGGGTTAGGGAATCCGAAGCGCCACATGCTGTTCCTGGCCGGCGGATCCATCATCCTGCCGTGGCCCCCCGCCGGTTTTGGCACCTGCACATCAAAAGCGGTTCACATTTTTTAAGGTACGTACTGGATATTTATTATATTTTTATGCATGCCAACAAGTACCACATACTTCTCTCTGTGATTTTTTTTCTCTTTCTTTCTTTTTTCAAGTGTAACTAATGACGAGAAACAGGGCGTGGTTGCTAGATGGATAAAACTATACTCTACATTTCGTCTCAAGGTTCCTTTCGCCTCTCTCATCATCATATTAAAATAATTTATATCTTCCAACTGCCATCCGGTACGATCGAACCAGAACCTTGACCGTTTGTCACGGGGCCACAATTGCCGAATTGGTTTAGGAGTTCATTATTTGTGAATTGCCGGCAGATAAAGAAAATTGGCTTGTAAAAGCTGCCATTTTTTACAACGAGAGAGTACGTGCGTCTAACACGATAGTTTCAGGCGGTTTCGTTTGATTGCACATAATTAAAAGCCTTTGTTTTTTACACTTCCTTATTTTTATATCTGTTTAGAATTTAAAAAAAGAGTTCTTTGTATAATTTGTATAATTCGTAAATTTTTGTGACAATTTATAGTCTATGAGAGTTCTCCTAGTATTTTATTCACAGATTTTGCAAATATATACCACGATATACCAAAGTTTGCCAATGTCGAGTATCGAAAAAAACACGTTTTTCGTACTTTGGCCCTAAATTGCAGAAAAACTAAAAATAATGCCATCCTGAATTTTACTCACCAGATGCAGAATTTAACGGGCTACATTTTTTGCATTTACACGAAAAAAATCAAAAAAATGATTTTTTGAGAAAGATGGCTTTAAAAATTAAATTTGCAATTTAGTGACCTTGACCTTTAACCTACGCAAAAATAGTCAACAGAAAAGTTGTTCAGAATAAAAAGTAACGCCAGGATAAGAAGAGAGCAGATCAAAATTCCCACTAGAAGCAAAGATATTTGCAATTTTGACTTTTTCAAAAAACCCAAATTGCAAAAAAGTGTACAAAATTTTGATTTCAAATTTTGGTCAGAGAACCCTCTTATCAACCCAAACAACATACTTTGATTACAGAATGGCATTGTGAACCAAAAATTTAGGCCAATTCACGGTCAATCATTCATGAACGGTCCCAGAATTATGTATTTCATTTATTTATACTTTCGTTAATCAAGTTTTTCTCCACTGTTTTAATCTGCTCTAATTTTAAGAAAATTAATGATACAAAATTATATGCAACATTCTGCAGTCCAATTAAAATTTTAGCCATTAATTCACGTATTGTAACAATGTGGACAAATAAACAACGTCCAATATTAATAATAATACATCTATAAATGATTATAACCATAAAATAGTCTCCAGATTTAATAAATAAATTTAAATTATTTTTTTATTTATTATCTATGTTTTTGTTTTAATTTATTTTTTTATTTAATTTTATTTCTATTAATATTATTCATTTTATTTATTTTAATTTATTTAATTTTATTTATTTATTATTATTATTTGTTTTTATATGTCGACATTGTTTTTTGTTTCCTTGTTTTTTTTTTTTTTTTTTGAACAAGTAAATAAAAAAAGAGTGATTTTAATGTTGATTTATTTTTATTAAATTCTCCTAGATGTAGGTTTTTTTTATTAAAACTGTTTTTTTTCCAAATTGCAATGCTTTTTAAAGTATTTTTGAAGATAATCCGTTGCTCAAAATTTGCTCCATAAAAATTTCATGATCAAACATCTCTGAAAACAAACTAACTAAATTAAACTGTTATTAAGTTAATTATGAAATTACTGCAGACGAACTTGAAATTTACTCACTCATTATTGCTATTATTTATCGATAAATATTACAATTTGAATTAATTAAATCAAGAGCTTCATGGAGCGGAACATTGAGCCACCTAGCAAGCACTAATAACAGTCGTACATCTCATCTCTCTTATTTTCATGCGGACGAATAAAGCCCGGCGATTGTGCCATCGTCGGAATATTGCATTGCAAAGAGAATTACGCGAGAGCGAAATTAATGAGCATAGTAAGTCAACTGCACGCGCGAGATCTTAGACAAGATACAGTGGCGCTTGACTCTTGTTTATGTCCTGTGCGTTGTAAAATATGATTACTCGAGCCAAGTCATGCTTGGCGATCGCTTCTTGTGCAGGGCGATTGTGGACCCTGAGAGAGAAACGGATTTCAGTGACAACTCCTTATCTATTTGGAGCAGCAGGAATGACTCTGTAATCTGTTTCCAACTTTCATCTTTTGTTTACTTTGTGGTTGCGTAAGTTTGCTAATGTAAATGGAAAACTTGATTAATTAAGTTCCATTTTTTTCCTCTTTTCCTGAAATACGGAAAAGATTGAAATTTATGTGATGTGAGTTTTTATTTTTAGTTTTATAAAATAATTGTAATGGATCAAATAACAAATTAAAAAGAGGATTTATGATTGTCACCTTTGCCAGTGGTTCCATTAGATTTTTGATAGTTTTGCTCCATCACACAGGATGTTTTTGTGCATTTCAATTAAATTTAAAATTTTATTAATCACCATTCGTATATAAAAAAATGATATTAAAAGAAATTGAATGCAAACATTTTAATAATTGTGAGTCGTAATTAAATTTCATAAAATGAACTGGAAGCTGGACTTTCAAAAATTAAAATTTATGGCAATAGATGTAAGTGAGAAATTGTAAAAAGATATGGTCCTCATTAATTAAAAAATTGAATTTAGTTCACAGATTCTTTCTTCCAGACCAAAGTTTGGCTATAAAAGCTGCCCGACGTACTAAGAGAAGATTATGTCAGCGAGCGAAATGAACCAAAAATTTTTTCAAGCAAACCTTATTCTTTCCTCTTTAATTTGTAGAAATACAAGTTTTGCATTCATAAATTTCGTTTTTAATCTTTATTCTTTTGATAACCAGAAAGTTTTGATTTGAATCAAATTTCTAAAGAGAAAAGTGCGGACGGAAAAAAAATCAGTTGCTCAGATGCTGTTTTGCAGTTTTTACCTTTCAAATAAGACTATTTTTCCAATTCTACCCGTTCACCGACACATTTGACAAAGTTAATTTGTTGACCATAACCTGGGTCGTGTTGCGTTCAGAAAATTATTTGAAAAAAAAAAAATAATGAAATTAATGGATTTAGTATAATTTGTACATTCAAAATTATTTAAGTTGTTTGAAACAACCCTTTCAACAAGTTTAATATGATTTAATTACATCACAAAGTCCACAGAAACAATCCAGACAAATGATACACCACAGAGTTCAATTAAATTTTAATTTTGCACATGACAATCTAAGAATTTGTACGGATTATTTATAATTTTTAATATAAATTTAAATATTATTTTACGTTAAAAGCTACTCAAGCTGCATTATGAGCAATGTTTTATTCCTGGAAATGATTAATTTAAATTATTTGAAAGAAAAAAATTAATTATATTATAAAAATATCAAATTACACTAAACGAGATATAATTGCCATAAATATTTACAGTAATATTTATAGTATAAAAAGTTAACGACTTTTATAATTTTGCATAACCATCAAAATCCGGTATGAGAAAATTTAGAGATTTGGTAAATTTTATGCTGTCGCTTTAATTTTGAACCTATAAAGTGCGCTATAAAGATTAAAATCGTGCGCAAATACTACTTTACAATCACGTGGGTGCGCACAGACTTGGCTGCCGCGTACATTTTATGCTTTTTTTAGGTGCAATAAATATAGACACACTAAATCAATCACACACGTTGCCCGCGCGCCCTACCGAGTTGCATTTTTTCCTTCATAAACTTTTACAGCAGAAACGCGTAATTGACATTCGGACTGCGTCATTCCAATATCATGTTGGAAGGCAAAAAAAAAATATTTGTAATAAAATGGAACAGTTTTGAGGTAATTGAGATTCAAAATATGTTGCGCAAATGGACAGGTGCATTAACTCTGCGCTTTTTATTGCCAGCATCGTTGGGTGTTTTCAGCTGCATTTATATTTAATATGCATTTCCTCGGCTTAATTAACAGCGTGTATAACTCTACATTATTGCCTTATCTCTCATTCTCGCACTCATCCAACGCGCAAAAGCAAAAGAAAATTCTCACCTGAGCCGCCAGAAGCACCAGCAGAAGCCAGCCGAGGGATTTCACGGAGCCTGAAGACATCGGGCCCCACTCGGATGTTTTCATCCTACAACTGAAACGAAAATATAACGAAATTAAATAAATATTCAGGAAAGTTTTGCCAAGACATATTTGATCTGCTGCAGGTTTTTCAAAAAATAATAAATAGACTAAAAAAAACATGCAAAAAGATTTTTTGTTCTTTCAAAATTGAATAAATTTTACAGTAACTACCAAAGTTGTACATTTTCTTGACACAAAATTGTAAATTTAAAAAAAGGTTCTCTTAAGTTGAATTTTTTTTATTTGTCCGGATAAGAATATGAAAACAGGTGCAAAATTAGATAAAAATTAGGATAGTCCAAAAATTTCATAATATTGGTTAGAATATTAACTATAAAAACCCTGAAATGACAGTATTTTGTTTCCGATTCTGCGAATAAATCACAGTTGAGGAAAGAAAAAACAATTGTTTCGCTCCTTCTAAAAAGTGGGACACATTCCAAGAACCAGATTCCGGACCATAATCCAATAACAGAAACTAATCGGCAAGTATATTTCATCTTTTTGTCGCGTGAAATTAATTTCCTGGGCGGCGTCTGGTCGACGACAAGTGTCACTCAACGCGTGTGTAAAAATGTAAATCACCCGCAGACGTTGTTTGGTCCCAGACGCTTGAAACTGATTATCAACGATTCAAGCGCCCATTGTGTGCAGTTCGCAAGGGTCCAGTTTTTGTTCGCGCGCGCGTGAAACTGTTACTCAATCGAATTCACCGATTCTGAATGCAACTGTTTGCGCTTTTTTTTTAGTTTTTTACCTGTTTATTGATCAATTCTCGCAACGAGAAGAGCTCGCGGAATACTGAAGCAGAAAGTGCTTGAGATTGGCGTCGTGATAAAAATCAGGTTTTTTTTTAAATTGAGTGTTGATCTGTGTAAGAGAGTCGGCGGTGAGCTTCTGCAAAGTGCTCTCGAGACTGCAAAAATAATGCATTCTGACCGATCCAGAGAGATTCTGATTGGTTAATAGAGTGTTTTTTACAAAATGTAAGAAAGAGAGAAAAAAAAATGCAAACTCGGAAAGTATCGTTGTGTGGATGAGGAATTTTTAACAATTTTTTTAATGTGTAGCAAAATTAAGTACATTACACGAAGACACCAACAGTCTCTTTTAAATAATTTTAAATACTCACACTATTTTCAAGAGACAAGTGAAGTTCATAATTACCAGACAAGGGCTAAGAGTGATTTGCATGTTCCTGCCCAGACTTTTTTTAATTTCGAAGCAGAACCCTTTGACTTGTGTGGCTGCTTCGTATAACAAATTGCCTGTTTCGATTCGCTTGGAGCCGCAATACAAGACTTTTGAAAGTAGTTTGAGGCGTTTTGTTTATTCACATTAATTTTATAGCTAATAAGAGTTTTTCAACTCATCAATAAATTGTAAAATATATTTTTTTACTCTTTTTTTGTTTCAGCAGCTTTTCTAATATATATTTTAAGTTTTTTTACTGTATTTTATTAATTAAATTTTTAAAATTAAAAGGTGGAAATTAATTTTTTAATTAGTTTTTATGGAATGGAGAATGAATAAATAAATAGATTAGTAAAATAATATTTAGATAATGAGAGAAACTGCGCAATGGTTGAAAACGGAAAAATGTCTGAAACATACTTATGAAGAATAATAATGATTAAAAGGTATAGACATTCTTTAGCGATAAGAAAAGAGTTAAAATAAAGAATAATTGCAAAATGTTTAAGTGAGTTCTTATGGAAATGGATATTTCTGACAAAGAAATTGCCCAAATTTTCAAAAAATGTTTTATATCTTTACTGCTTAATCATTTTCATGAGAGTAAAAATATTATGTACAATTTAACCACAATTCACTATGCCAACAAAATAATTTTCAAAATACTCTGGTGCTGTGGGAGGTCATTTTTGTGCTTTGGGACATTTAACCTGTCAAATTATATTCCTGCTCCAACCACATTCCAGCTACGCAACTCTGGATTAAAACATTGAGGGAATCGTCGAATAATCAAGATGATGGTCACACACGAGTCAGTTTTTTTTGCCAAGTGAGGAGTAAATTTATATGTGCTCAAAAATTACACATCCACGACAGGGCACGCGACATAAGGAAAATTAATTTTACCTTTGCGCCTCATTGAAACCTGATTCCTCGGCTTGTCTCATCTTCACTTTAAATTACTATATTGGTGATTTTCTGAGTGAGCCGCTCCTTAATTTTGAGCACCAATTCGTCAACAACAAGGAAAAAGAATGAACTTGCCGCTTAAATATTGCTTTCGACCGCTCTGTTATCAAAAAATTAGAAATGTTCTGTTGATTTTGAGAACGGCACGTGAATCTATTAGTTTAATAGGTAGACAAATCTAATCACTTCAAACTAGTTACAAAAATGAGGTGTAATTATGTAATAAGCAGTCTTCAAAATTTGTTCGATTTTTCTGTTTTTAATTGATATACATTTTAACAAATTGATGTGCCCTTCGTTCTACATTATATTATTTGTTGATGGTTTTGTTTCTCTGAATATTGATGAAGGTCGCCGCCGTTGGAGAATAAAAGTGGAGCGAGCTGCAGGCGCATATTCTCTTAATTAGCACTGCACGCGGTGCATTTTACTAAAAAAAAAATACTTGGCACAGTCCTACGTAATAAACGGCTCGTTCGCTGTTCAAAGAGAGCAATAAGACTTTAATGATAACACCAGAAATGGATTGACGCAAGGGCACGCTCATTAATGCAAGCCTATTCTCTCCACTAATTGAATTCTATTCATCCACAAAAAGAAATCCGCTTTCACTGACTGCTGATCAATTTAAATGTGGATCGTTCAAGATGTTAAATTAGCATCGACAAAATAATAGAAGAAACTTATTTCCTTTAAAATAGTTTTTTTTAGCATAATTGCAAGAATATTTGCCATAAAAAATGTCGTTTCTCAAACAGTACAAGTTGCAAATCTTATAAATTCAATTTTTACCGACACATAATAATTTACTTTAGTTTTATTATTACTCTTTAATTTCCTGAATCAGGGAAAAAGTGTGTTTAATCAACAAGATCATTAACTCGTAAGCGTTAATTGCTTGTTTGTCAGTGTCAGTAATTACGTTTATAATAATTTGTTATGGCCTCGTCATATCTCTCAGAATTCAAAATTTTCTAGAATCGACAATTTTGGAGAATGTCAAAATTCATCAAGGGAATACTATTTGAATCATCCATTGATAATCACTTGGGACATTTCTAATAATTAATAAAATAAATACTTTAAAGTTCAAGCATAATGAGATTTTATGTTCTAACCTTTTAACTAATTCATAATGTTCAACGCTGATTATTTATTTCCCAGCTCACAAGAATTTCGCATCAAAAGACTATATAATAATTTACAATAAACGAAATTTAAGACGTTTTTCCATTAGCTTATTCCGTCAAATCTTAAATCAGTTTCTCCAAATCTGGCACCGATAGAAATCTAGCTCTGGCCCTCGCAAAATCCAGCAGGCTTTTGTATATTATTAGCCCAAAACAACATAAAGTAGATCTGCCTTCCGCTTATAATAACAAAACTCATAAAGAACGCAACTCTCTGTGTTTTCCATATTTTCTAATAAACTTTTCGCACATAATTTCAAGCGAGACCCGAGACACTGGAAAAAGAAATATCACCTACACTCCTAAAAAGGCCGGTCGATGTTAAAACAGGCTCGTTTAAAATGTTGCCGTGTTTGTTCTTGCGGGTGAAAAATTAACCTTGTACACAATCGTGCGAGTCGCCGTGAGCTGTTGTTTGTCATCAATTACAATTCAAGCGAAAGCACTTCAGCACCACAATGAAATAAGACCCTCTTCCGGTTCAATTAAAAACTCCTATGTGTTTAGATTTTTTTAGGGGGGCCCATAATGTGTCTGAATCCGGAAAAAGAAAGTGTCCGAAAATAATTTGTCCGAGGGGAACGATCTAGAATACTTCGGAGGAAGGTTTTTTCGGAAAAATTAAGATTCGGAGGAAAGATATTCGGAAAAATTATGGTTCGGATAAAAGTGTGTGGACAGATTATATTTTTTAACTTTGGATCAAGTTTTCGGACGAAAGTTTTCGGACAAATTCCAGAAAATACTTTCGGACACAATTAAGGCCCCTCTTTTTTAGGATTGTATGGACCCTTCCATTTTATATTTTTCAAATTTTTAGCACTTTTTTTAAATTTCGAAAATGTAAAATTTCCAATGACATTTATTCCAAGTTGAATTTAAGAAGAAATAAACAAAACAAAACGAAAAAACATATTTTGAAATTAATCCCTCTGATCCAAAATTTGATTTCGTGGAACCATCTTTCAAAATTTAGCCACGCATCCTTGAAGAAATTGCGATTAAAAAAACTTCCGGTCAATTTCGATTTGCATCAATATGGCAAAAGGGCCAATCAATAAATCAGTCTCATTAAACATTTTCGGTGCCACCCACGCCTTAAAAGTGCAAACATACTTGAGTTGGTCCGTGAAAATTTCGCCGGTGTGTCTTTTTCGCATCTGCTGCTCGGCATTTCAGCGCAGGGCGGGGTCGCTCCGATGGTAAAAGGCAGGGCCCTGAAGGTGGATGGCGAATTTTTATTTTTTGCCCATCGACCTTGGCTTTGGCTCCTGAAAGAGCCGCGCGCGACTTTTGTGCGTTGCCTCGGCTCCTCGGCTCTGCTCGCATTTTGGAGCGGTTTTTTTTCTTTCGGGCTGGGTCGGTGACCCGATCTGCTTGCAGATCTCCGCGGCGCGCGTGCGATTCGTATTTTTCTGCTTTCTGATGGATGGACGGACCGCGGGCACGAATTACATGGGAATCGTATCTGGCCGAGAGCGATTATGCTGTCAGTGTTAGAAAAGATTACGTTTGGAAGAAAAATAAAAATAAAGCTGATGGCCCTCGGGATGGCTCTTGTATATTTTCTTAAACTTGCGCTTCTACCCTGGAGTTAAGGTGTTTTCTCACGTAGATTTCATTTGAATGCTCATAAATCTGCAGCAGAATTATACAA